ACTTATTACCTGGTGGAATCCAAAAGTTATTTGATGAAAGGGAAGGGGGTTATAATTTAAGGGGTCAGTTGAATCTAAAAGTTCATGCTATACGTACGACCAAAAAAAGATTTTGTATTTCTATAAGTGGGGTCAAATTATGGAATAATTTAAGTGTGGACATGAAAAACAGTACTAGAATTGAGGAGTTTAAATATAAATATAAAAGTATGTGTCATTCAAGATATATGCAAGAATAAGAGATGTAATCAAGAATGCATGAATGAAACACTCCGTTTTAAATTTTCTGTATATTACTTGTCTGGTGAAGAAGATAATTACCTATGTAGAGATACTGCTTGCAGCCAATGATGCATGAAATTTTTTGTATAAGATGATGTTATGGGGTAGGACTGGATAAGTCTGACTTCTTCCTACTCCATTCAAACATGTACTAGGTATAAGCAAACTGATTCTGGATTAGCATTGGTTGGATTTGTGTAAATTATGTGTGTGTTGATATCATTTGTTTCTACATGTTTGAAAGAATAAATCAAATCTCTAGGAGACAGAACACGTCCCCTTCCTGAGCTGTGTGATGGCTGCATTGTGTTGATATTTACATAGTATTGTTTGTACAGATGAACGTGGTACGTTCAGGGGTTTGGAAATTGGATGAACCAGACTTGTGGAGGTCCACACTTTTTTTTCCCAAGGTCTTGGTTGAGTTCTTTTGATTGTCCCATGATGTCAAACAAAGAGTTTGAAGGTAGTTCTTAAACTACATCCACAGCTGCACCTCCTATTGACTCAAATTATGTCAATTAGCCAATCAGAAGCTTCTAAAGCCATGACATCATTTTCTGGAATTTTCCAAGGTGTTTAAAGGCCCAATCAACTGAGTGTATGGAAACTTCTGACCCACTGGCATTGTGATATAGGGAACTATAAGTGAAATAATCTATCTGTAAACAACTACTGGAAAAATTACTTGTGCCAGTGCATAAAGTACATGCCCTCACCGACTTAGCAAAAACAAGAGCTTGTTAACATAACATCTGTGGACTGGTAAAAAAAACAAACAAACAAACAAAAAAAAAAAAATTATGACTTCAATCTAGGTGTATGTACATTAAACTTCTGACTTCAGCTGTACCTGGTTATGTTTCCCTCAGGCGACACGTCCATGACGTCATTGGTTGCTTATGTCAGTTATTATTATTATAGTTATTAAATATGTTTAAAAAATATTTATGGGAACGACTGGTTCTTAAGACTTTAGATCAGAATTGTTACATGGCACACACTACATAATTTTATCTGCTGACTGTTAATAATGACCAAACCAGACTGAGCCCAACTCGGTCCAACTGGGTCCGATCAGTTGTCACATCCAAATACCATTCATAATCGGCGCAGCAGTGGTTAAGTGGGCCAAACAGCTACCAGCTTAAGGTGCTACGGACCAGTAGATGATAGAACATTTAGAAGCAAATCATCAAAAAAAATTCCTGAAAAGAATTAGACCATAAACTAAAACACCATAGTTATTTTGGAGCCTATATCATGTGTTGTGTGTGTCAGTTACCTCTACAAAATTGTGGATTCCCTCGAGGTATGCCAAGTTGTTGTCTGTCACGTCCACACAAATACAGAAGTACAGACCAGCATAACGTCTGTAAATGATCTTGAAGTTTCTGAACTGTGAGAACAACAATAGACAAAGCCTCTCAGCAACTTTGCCTTTCATATTATGACAACAAGAGCAGCTTTACTTGGGCTTAAGCTTCCCAGCTTCAAGATAAAACACACCCAGTACATCTATAATAACTCTGGAACAAAATGCATGGTAAAACTGATCAGCAGACCAGAATTTTGCTTTCTTATCATCTGTTAAAGCCAGTACTGAAAAACGGGTGCGATTTGGTACATGACCCACCTAATTATTTTCACATAAAGAAGTCACGACAGAGTTTTAACAACAGTGTGTGGTTTCAGTCATTACACTGCAGGCCTTGATCAGGTTTTGAAAAAAGTTCTGTGGCAAACTGGGGCATGTCACTGAGCCACACAACCGTGCATGTAAACATATGATAGTGACTAATTCCATACCTCCACAAAGTTGGTGTGTTTGGCATCCCTGACAGTTACCACTGCATGTACTTCCTCGATCAACTTCTGTTTCTCATCATCATCAAACTGCATGTACCATTTGGCCAGTCTTGTCTTCCCAGCTCGGTTCTGAATGAGAATGAAGCGGATCTACGCAATAAAAATGGAAAAAAAAAAAAAACAGAAACAAAAATTAGACTACAGTAGGAACAGTCCACTGAAAAACTTGGTGCCTGTGTGACCTGACCTGTGGTGGCATGAAACAGTGAATCGTTTAAGTAATTTTACACCCTTTCATGGTCACCCTTCTGCTTTTCTTTTCAGCTATTATCATTTTAATTATTTTTTCATCATTTTGAGGTTTTCACTGTTGGCTGAACAAAACAAGCAGTATCAATGTGATGTGTGTCTGGGTAATTGTGATGGGAATTTCCCCATTATTTTCTGAATTAAGTGCATTTTTCCAGATTATACTTACAAAAGTGATTCTGAATGCACAACTTCTGCCTATAATGGAAGATTTTGAAAATTATCTGAGTAGCTACCTCCTCCAGCCCTGGATTTTACGTTAAGCTAAATATACAGTATCTCATAGGGAGGGCAGGCAGGACTAGCTATTTGTTAGCTGTCACTTGTTAATAATGTTATTAATATCTGACAGACCAATTTAGGGGCATCTAAAGACAAATGTATCGTTACAAATTATTTAACGTTAACTGTAGATGGTATTAAGTACTGGGAGCATCAGCTGAAGCTCGCTGGCGTTAGCTGAACGGACCCCTTAACTGTAAAAACACAAGTGTGCATTACTTTTTAACAAAGCCTAAACAACTGACACGCGATCCATTAAAGCGTAAGCGGGAGCTGTTCTCTGATAAAGGTTCGGGATTTTAAATCTATGGCCTTCACTGCTATGGTAAATTAGCGAGCTAACTATCTTCAGCTAACGTTTTCTACTGACTGGAAGGGGAAGGAAGGAAGAGATTATCTAGCTGTTAGCGAATCCCAAATGCTGGCAAGCTAGTTGTAATATGCTATTATGAGATAAAACAGAGATGTATTCATCTTTGACATATTTACCATTTTTGTCTCCTAAATATGGACCTTAGAAACTCCAGAATAGCGCGTTGCTGAACGATTACGCTACGATTTTACATTTAAAAAACATAAGTAATATTTTCGACCGCTCGCCCGCTATCTTCCCGAACTAACCGGAAGCGCAAATCTATAGTAAGTTGTGTTGCATGAAGGACAATGTAGTTTATGCTGCAACATTTAGAACCTTTGAACCGTATAACTGTACTACAAATACCAGAGTCCCTCTGCTGTGCGCCTTTTTAAATTGTCCTTTGGGTCACATGAGAAGCAAAAGTGTCGTGCTTGTTACTGATATGTTCTCCAGGAGTAACTGAAACAGCAAATTATGATAGTATTGTGTTTTTTCAATATGAATGTTAATTATTTAATTATGTAAGTATCATGATGCGACATAAAACGTTTGTTAAAAAGTGGGCTGTGAGGATTTTTTTTTTAAAACGACTCCTGATATAAGCTAAATTATGACAGTTAATGACCAGTCTAACAGATGAATGAAAATTAAATGATTTTGTCTTGGTTTTCTTTCCTCTTCCTGTGTAGCCCATTTTGATTTTCATGTTTTGTTTTGTTTTGTTTTTTTTTTTGTTTTTTTGGGATGGACAGGTCCAGGAATGAAATCTGGGCAGTTGATTTACTGTATATTGTGCAGACTGATATGATGGCTGCCTTACATGATTCCTGCTACCATGATAATAACAGATCGCCTGCTTAGCATTTTAATAGTCCACCCTGTCATAGGCCTATAGAGCAATTTAAGTGAAAAGGATACTGGGTACAAGCTGAACAGACTGATCTCATTACAATACGTTAATCCATAGTGTTTCTGTGACTCCATGCCCCCTGATGTCTTCTTTCCAGACGACCAAGACAACAACACAACTATTTTAAGTACACATTTTAACATATGTGGTGATGAGAAAACTAAAGGTTTTGTTGGAGAAAGTAAATTGGAGAAAAAATCTTTGGAAAAAAATAAAACTGCAGTAGCCTATTTATTTTTGCTATACCAAATGTAAAAACAAAAGCAGTTTGGTTTCTGAAGATTCAAAAATAGCATTTTAGCCAACTCTTAATTGTGTTCCAGTGTTTGTATGTGTGTGGTTATATACACCACATTTGTGACAACACCTCAGAATTTCTTCCAAGCATAATACAGAATGAGAAAGCAGTAATAATATATTTTCACCCTGTTGAGGTTACATTATTTGTGACTGTCTTCTGTAGAGTCAGGGTTCAGATGTCGTTCACTGATCTGGTTGGGCAGCAAAGTCACCATAGACCATCGTTCAGGCAGTTTAGACAGCTTGCTTCTCTGGACATTTAGGGAGTCGAGGGGGATGGGGGAACTATGATTGTCAGAGATTGCACAACTGTGCGTGGAGGAATGTGCTTGCCCTTGGGACTCAGAAATATTTCAGCTGCAAATACAATGAAGGTTTAGGTGGCATACGGGAAAAAAATAAAGGGAAAGGGAAAACCAATTAGTGAGTAAATGCTAAGTACAGAGTTTTTTTTCATATAAAGTTTGCAGCTGTGTTGTCATACTGGTTTCTAGTTTCTCCAGGATAATGAAAGCACAACAAATGTAATGTCATGTATATGAAAATTAAATATCACAACTAGGAATTAGTATCATAACTTAATAATCAAATCAACAAATGTTTTAAGATAGATGATGACCCACTTAAAAACCCAGTGGTTAGGAAAAGGGGTATAAAACAGAGGCAGATTGTTCAACAGAAACTTTGACCCCCGCTAATCTTGCTCTGTATTATTTGGACCATGCAAATATTAATGAAAACACAGTGACTAATGTGATTGGACAGAAGCTTGTGGACTTACTCAAACAGAGGGCAGTACACCTTGAACTCTGTGTATTTAATGGTGGGTCACTTTTCAAACTATCAAAGCACACGTACTGCACTTTATACATTATAATTTTATAATCCATGTAAGATTAATGTAACACAAGCTGTTATTTCTTATGAGAATTTAATTTGAAACTGGAGCAGCCATGGTATTCCTGATCACCACCAGTGTTCTTAAAAGGCAAAAAAAAATTCAAAAACAAGAAAAGAATGTACCCTTATTCTTGAGGGGGATGTGCTAGAAAAAGATCCAGTTTAAGCACCCAAGTAGGTGGATTTTCAACATGTTAGCCCATGTTTTCAATGTATTATTTCTTGTATTTTTGTTTTGCTATGAGAGATTGCATTTTGTAACAGATTTTACCTTGATTATAACAAGCTTGACATGGTGCCTATGTTGTTTCCAGTCTCCTCTAAAGTATCTAATTCTCTTTCAAAATCAATACATTTGGGTTTGACAGTCCCTTGAATTATGTGCTTTTATATCATGCAGAGTTTACATGCGGTTTGAAATTGCATGTTTTGGAAAATGCTATGAAGGACTAACGGAGAGAGGGGAGAATTCCACTACAGAGTCCCAATGCAAGACAACAAACTTCTGCTTGGGCTGTTAGTAAAAACAGTTGTCTTGCAAAAATGTTTCCAAATATGTGGAAGCAATTGCATTGTCCTTCTGAGAAAAAAGTCTGAAATCTATATGCAGAAATTATCAAAGGACGGATAACTTTACAACTTTTTTTTACCAAGTGGATGACTCAGTGCATACACACACACATACAATTAGAACTAACCTTTGAGATGATTGATTTTTTTCAGGAAATCATTAAATATTTTACCTCTGTGAGGCTTGATAAGGTTTTACGTAGGAGTCTTTGTGTGAGTGCACAACAAATCTGTTACATGTGATGTAGCCAGTGAATGCTCAGAAATGTTAGTAGATGACTAATGTTCAGTGTTTGTACAGAGACATTAGGATCAGTTGTGACAGGAAGTGACATTTAAGTCATGGGGCCAAGAGGGCAAATGCACCAAAATAAAGTCAGTAGGCTATAATCATGATAACATGAACACCTTCCTTTTATCTGTAGCTTGTTGCGACAGAATGGAGCAGACGAGACTGACATCAGTGACAGACTAGCTCATAAAAAGAAAATAAACTCAGATCTACAGTTGACCATCATAAGGCAAATAAGCGCCAGTATAACCAACTAAGCAAGAGCTTTAAGGAGGGTGAACTGGAAACTCCATTGCAAACTTACCATGAAAGAAATGAAACGTATATGTTGTAATGTACTGTACTTTTTTAACTTTGTGTATTAAAACAAAACCTCATATACTATGAACTTATGCAATCATAAGTGGTGAGAGAAGTAATATCTCAATGTGAAAATATTATATTACAGGAAAAACCTCTCTGTTCATGTTACTAAAATAGAAGTACATTAGCAGCACAATGTACTTAAAATATTAAAAGTACTTGTTTCAGATTATTTCTCTGTTAAATTATTGGTTAATCATTATTATTATTACTGATGTAAGCAGCATGTTACTGTTTATTTATTTTACATTTTACTTGTTAAGGTGAATCTTAGCTTCTTTATATACAGTTGGATACTTTACTTATAAGACTTTACTTGTAAGATTACAAAACAATTTATTAAGACAAAGACTGACAAAGTGGATGATATTATGTATGTGTGAAACGTGAAAATGACAGTCTGCCTTCAGCTCCTTTACTTCCTGCAATAATTTTGTTTATTTTGCCATAAGAAATAACATTTTATAAATTGACCAGATGCGTTGGATGTACAATTTTGGCATATCTGAAATGATAAATTAGGATTAAACAACATTAAAAAGTATAAGATTTCCTTCTGAAATGTAGTATAAAGCAATAAAAAATTTGAAATATTCAAATACCATTACCTTAAAATTGTACTATACTTAAGTAAGGTACACCTTGTTTAAGTGTAGAAGCCTAATGAAGTGACTTTTATTTATTTAATATGCTTTTTTTTTTTTTAATGTGTCCACTGATAATTACAGACCTACAGGTCTGAATGACTGTAGGCCTTTACATGTATAAGTTAAATCAAACTCACAAAATGTAACATTAATAATAATAATACATTGATAAATAAACCGATACATTTTAATGATGTGTTTTCTCCTTATAATGTTCACGACAGGTTGCTCAAAATATATTTAATAAGTGATCTTTTTGATTGATTTCCACTGGTGTCATAGTCCTTGTACGTGTGTTGTAATTGTGTCCATGAGCCGCTGGGCGAGACTCTCTCTCTCTCTCTCTCTCTCTCTCTCCCTCCGTGTTCTCTGTGAATAGGAGGCGAGATGCTGGATTCGGGGGAAGGGCCCCCCTTATTAAGCTGAAGAAAAAAAAACAGATCTATACACACCGTCACACATTTAGCCTGTAAGTGGCTCAGCATTAGAAAAGAGAAACCAACGGCTTCGAACGAACTGGTGTAAACTGAAAACGGCGCCGTGGTGTATGACGACAGGGCTCGCGATCGCATTTCTATACGGACTCATAATTTTGACACAACAAAGGAAATAATAATTGGTCAAAACAACGTGGTGCTGAACCAAGAAGGAAAAACACACCGAAACAGCGCTTTCCCAACGTCTTCCCCTTCCTCGTTCTCAGCCACGGTGAAAAGCCTGGAGTTTTAACTGCATTTTTTCTTTTCCTCATGA